CCTCTCCCTCCTCCCTGCATGTCTCTGTGGGCACTGTGACCATCCCCCACTCTCCCTCCTCCCCTGCATGTCTCTGTGGACACTGTGTCCCCTCTCCCTCCTCCCCTGCATGTATCTGTGGGCACTGTCTGTGCCCACCCCTCACTCTCCCTCCTCCCCTGCATGTATCTGTGGGCACTGTCTGTGCCCACCCCTCACTCTCTCCTCCTCCCCTGCATGTATCTGTGGGCACTGTCTGTGCCAACCCCTCACTCTCCCTCCTCCCCTGCATGTCTCTGCATCGGCTGCAGCCTGTGACCCCACAGGTCTTTATTGGGAAAAATAAATCCCTGTTACTTTAAGCGACTGGAGTTGGGAAACTGGCAGCTGAATGCATGCTCACTGACTCAGGGCCACTTTCAGGCTTAGGTCAGGGAAAACGTTAAATAGCACTATCACTGAAAACTCCAAAACAGAACGCCATACTCATGCTCCTTGCTTATACACTCACTTCTGACTTCAAGTGATCGCATGTAGGTACCTTCCTTTACATTGGAAGGTACCTATTCATACCAACCAGTCTCGTGCTTAAAGCCATTTCATCTAGACTCACACTGATCCATCAGACCTCTCCTCCTGGCTGAGGTTACAGGTTACACTTCTGGCAGAAAACCATGCAGTATTCCCATGAGCACTGAGATTAGTAAGCTCATGAACTTTGTTCTTGAGGCTGACATCCCAACCCAGCATGGAATTCATCACTCAGCCTGAAGTCTTCAAAATGAATATCAAGTAAAGTAGAATATAATTAGATTTAGGACAACTGAACAGCATGACTCCTCTTGTTAATAAAGCTGTTTATCTCAGGGTTGGCCATGCACTAGTCTCTGGGCAGAGAGGTTCCTCCTCTCGGCTTTAAGCACCTGGCCGGGCACCCACGGGGCTCCCGTCCAGCGGGCCTTCTCCTATTCATCCAATATCACTGAGCACCGGCTGCATGTGCCTGTCCTCTCTGGCACTGAGCAAATACAAGCTCTTGTGGAGCTGACTTTCTAATTGTGTGTGTTGGGGGAGGGGAGAAAACACATTAGTAATAAGACTTCAGAAGAGCTATAAACAAATACAGTTACCTTAGACAAAGTGATCAAAGAGAGCTTCTCTGAGGAAGCAGACATTTTAAACTTGAGTGATAACAAGAAAGAGCCAGTGAAGAAACGTGCAAAGAACTCTGCAGGTGGAAGAGAGGGCTCATGGCAATGCCGTCCTGTGGGAATAAGCCTGGTTTGTGTGAGGTCGACCAGGAAGCCAGTGTGGGAAGCCCCTGGAGGAAAACAGGGGAGGGCAACACTGTGAGGCTGGGGGACGAGCAGGGCCTTAGCAGGATGGAGCCCACGGGAGGTCTGCACAGGGGGTGGCACACCTTTCATTTCTGAATAATGAACCTACATACTCTAAGAAAAACAAATTATTCTAAGGAGATAAAAGTAGGTAGATCAGTCAGTATGAATGAATAAACCAGGCTTTTCATGATTCGATGGCAACTTACCAGCATTGAGAATGAAGACAGAAAAACAGATGAAGCATGTTAGACAAAATCCACCGTCTAGTTCACTAAGATAGCCACCGACCACGGGGCCCAAGATGAAGCCCACACTAGACGCTGTATTTAATTGTCCAATGACTAATGGCCGCTCCTTCTCTGGAACCAGATCAGAAAGCATAGCCCTTGAAATGGAGAGTGTATGTTTAAAAATACCTGCAAGGAGACAAGTAACATATTCTGTAACATTTTCCACATTAAAAGCAGGGACTTCACCTCTATCCCTGATGGAGTTCTTATCCATTTCCTTTGAACCTCTAAGGCCACATGTTCCCTGCCGCCGTGACGGACTCCTGGTTCAGCCCACCACCCTGGTTGGCCACCCTGTCCCTGGCAACCAAGCTCCTGAATCCTCAGCTTCCCCCACCTCCCATCAGGACATCCCAGTGTCTCCGGTCCTCTCGCTATCCAAGTACAATTCATGGTGGCTTCTATACAGAAAGTTATCCGTCATTATTCATAAACTCGGAATAAACATTTTCTGCATGCCTACTGTACGTCCAGGATGAACCTTACCCTGAGGGTAATGCAAGGAACAGAAAGAACAGAAAGGCAGGAAAAAGACAAATATCCTGTCCTCACAGAGCTTCCATATCTCTGTAAGTTAAGTGCTATGGAAAGAAACAGCAGAATGACAAGGAGTGAGTAAAAACATAAAGATATGATGATACCACTGATTTTCTACCAGCAAGAGGCTTGTGAAACTGTACAAATTGAAAGCTGCGATATGACTTTACTTCTACTGATGTATTTGACTTGTAGGCACCCACACATTGAACAAACACACTCATAAACAGACTGGTGAATTCTGGCTGGTGAATTCTGGTGACCTTGGTTGCCCACTATTTTGATTAAGGCATCGTGGGTCCTACTAATAAATGCTGCTGGCAGGTCTGGCTGGTTGCTCCTAACCGGGATGGGGCACTGGTTTCCAGTGAGCTCCCTGAAGGAAGCAGTTGCATGTCACTACTCAAACCAGGTTGGTTTACATTAACATTATCATCCTCCACATAAATGTCTACTCATTTTGTAACAAATACTGTTGGTATGTAAGAGTGGTAGTATTGTAACCAGCCCCACCATTCTTGTGACTGTCTCTGTGAATGCTGACTCTAAGATGTAGCTTGTAGATGAACAGCATGTTTGTGTAAGAATCCTAGGAACTAACTTCAGAAGATGCAGACCCCGATCTCCAGTCATCCCAGTTCTGGGCCATTTGCTGACCTTCAACCATAGAACCAGATGACTCAGACCCAGGATGACGAAGACCAGGATGAAGCACACAGACCATCACGTGACCAGTTTCAAGGTCCTTATCGGCATGGCCTGTGCTGGCCTCACACAGAGAACTTTTCAACCCCTTCCCCTTGATTTCTTTGTTCTGCTTTCCCTCTCCCTCCTTATAAAAACCTAATGGGCTTTGTGACAAGAGTTCCCCGTCTTCTCAGGTGTCTAGCAGTTGAAACAACCACTTTCCTTTTTCACCAGCACATGTCTCACAAATTTGGCTTTCTTGGCGGCAGGTGATCAAATCTTGGTTCCAGTTACACTATTTATCTCTCATCTGTTTCTTTTGAATTCTAAACAGCCTTACCAGTGAATGGTGGAGTGTATTATATTGTACAAGGACACACTGCAACCAAACTAAGAACATAAAATAATGTGGACACCAGGTGCACATGAAACAGCTGTCATTTGGATTTTATGTGTGATGGTGGAGCTTACTGGAATGATTGATCACATTTAGAGCAGAGGCATTCATAAACCATTTTCTTAAGTAAACAACAACTCAGCATGGATTTTGGAGGGTGAACACAGAAGACTTGTCCATCAGGGTAGCAGAATCTGTCAGTGCTCTCATGAGTAAGGTGAGAAAGAAACAGAAAGTCCAGGGCTCTAGTCACCAAGAAGGGCAAAGAGGGAATTAAGAGTAACGACCTACCCATCTCAACACCTAGCACTCACAGGTAGTATTTCAAAGAATGGAAAAATATTTTAATGGATGGACAAAACAAAAGCTATTTCAAAAATGGAAGAAACATTCAGGAGCAGTCTGGAGACAAAACTAACCACTGAGCATTCCCCCACAAAGGAACGGCCAGCTTTACAGAAGGCGGCAGGAAAGCTATAGTGGTCAGTATCCATTTGAAATCAGGAAGCCCAACTTCAAAACTATAAGCTCGCTGAGGGACAGAATAGCAGTCAGTGCTGGTTGGAGACATTTAACAGATTATCCTGCTTGAGAGAGATGAACAGGAAGGAGCGAGGCACCGCCGCAGCAGCAGAGCTGTCACTGTGACAGACACGGGGCGCTGGCTCCGGCTCCATCACACACGAGGTCTGAAGCTCTGGACAAGTCAGCAGAGCCTGACTGATGGTGGTGTGACAGCTCTAATTTGTATCGCCATTATGCCCTCTACACGTAAGCTCTAGTCAGAGGCACTGACCAGCAGGGACAGGTTTTCTCTATGCATATGCATACAAGTGACTTATTTTGAAGGAAAACACAGACGGGCAAGCACTCACCCACAGAGACTCTAGCGAGGACAAACAGGAACATGTTGGTAGAGGCTCCAAGAATAAGATAACCCAGGGCACTGCAGAGAATGCACACCAGCAAGGAAAGCCGTCTTCCAATCACATCACTCCAGCAGCCCTGAGGAAGCAAGAAGCACAGACCGTCCTTGATTCACCATAAAATCACCACCTTGGAAATGCCCCCCAAATGCAAGCCAGTGGGAACCAGCAGGGAATTTGGGCTAAGATCCTTAACTGCTCAATTCTATTATGCCACTTGTCAGAGTATTTCCTTTGGTCTTCCACAAGTTGAGTGGAAAATACAACATAGCTTTCTCTCTCTCTCTCTCTTTTTTCTTTCTAAATCCTCACCCAAGGATGTTTCATTGATTTTTAGAGACGGAGGGAGGGAGGGAGGGAGGGAGGGAAACATCAATCATCTGCCTCCCATACGAGCCCTAAATGGGGACCAAACCTGCAACCTGCTGATTGGTTGCGTCATGCACACCCCAGGGGTTTGAACCTGCAACCCAGGTCATGCCCTTCATCAGGATTTGAACCCATGACCCTTCAGTGGGGATGCTCTAACCACCAGACACACCAGCCAAGGCTCATTTTTATCTTCGTTATCGCTTTACACATCTCAACTCCTCAGTAACAATATTCAGTTTAGAAATTTAGGAAACACTAAAAAACAAAAATATAAAAATGCTTCACAATCCCCAAATCTACAAATGATATTTCTAACAAAATATAGCATACTGTATTTTGTAACTTGCTTTTCCATTTAACAATAAATCTCAAACATTATGCCATTAAAAATTTGCCCCCCCCCTTTTTTTTTTGCTTAAGAGTGTCTATTTTCTACCATCATGACAACCATAGATTTTATCACTAATTTTTTTTGGTCTGTTAATCTTCACCTGAGGGTATTTTTCCCATTGCTTTTCAGAGAGAGTGGAAGGGAGGGATTGCAAAGGGGGATGGGGGGAAACAGAGAAACATCGATGTAAGAGACACATCGACTGGTTGCTTCCCACACATGCCCTAAGGGTGGGGAGCAAACCTGGAACCCAGGCATGTATCCTTGACTAAGAATCGAACCTGCAACCCTTTGGTATGCAGGCGACGCTTTAACCATTTAGCAACACAGGCAGGGGCTTATTAATTTTGTCAACCCATATGACTTAGATATACTGCAAAATGATTCCCATAATAAATTTAATTAACACCCATTATCTTAAATAGGTATAAATAAAAATGAAAAAATGTTTTTTCCTTGTGATGAGAACTTTTAGAATTTCCTCATAACAACTTTCAAATACATCATTCAGCAATGTTAACTAGTCACCATGCTGCACAGTACATCCCTAGTACTTACTTATAACTGAAGTTTGTACTTTTTGAACACCTTCACTCAATTTGCTCACGCCTGCCTTTGCTTATCACAAATCTGATCTTTGTTAAAAATCTCATTCAAAAATGACTTTGCTTTTAGATTCAACATGTAAGTGAGGTCATACAGCAGTTGTCTTCCTCGGTCGTCCTCACTTAGCAGAAAGCCCTGAGGCCCATCACGTGGTCACAGATGGCAAGATGCCCTCCTTTCCATGACCAATAGCACCCACTGTGTGCACACAGACCACATTTTCTTCACCCATTCATCTCTTGATAGACAAAAGTTGGTTCCCTGTCTTGGCTGTTGTAAATATAGCTGCAGTGAACATGGGGGTGAAGGGATCTCCTCCACAGTGACTGCATTTCCTTCGGATATACAATAGAATTGCTGGGTCATATACGTGTTCTATTTTTAATTTCTTGAGCAACCTCCATACCGTTTCCCATGGTGGCTGCATCAATCTGCATCCCCACCAACAGTGCCGCGGGGTTCCTTTCCTCCACATCCTCACCATCACCTGCCTTGTGTTTTAGGTGACACCCATCCTAACAGGTGTGCAGTGATGTCTCCTTGCAGTTTTGATTTGCATTTCCCTAATGATTAGTGATGTTGAACACCTTTACCATTTATTCAGATCCTTTGCCAACTTCTTCATTGGATTATTTCTTTTTCTGCTATTCAGTTGTATAAGGTCTGTATATATTTTGAATATTAATCATTATCAGATATATGGTTTGCAAATATTTGTTTCCATCCGAGTGGCCTTTTCCATCACGGTTGTTTCTTTTGCTGTGCAGAGGCTTTTTAGTTTGATGTGGAGCCTGGGGGGTGGTGCGAGAGGGTCACAGATGCCTCAGGAGCAAAGGGCCGCCTTCCCAGCTCATCCTTCACTTCCCTGTGTTCAGTCTCACAGCAACAGCTAAACCAAAATACACCTCCCTGTAGCTGGAGGCCTGGCCTTCAGAGATGCAACCAGAAGCCATTGGCGAGGCTTCTGAGAAAGTTCTTTAGAGGTGGGGGAGGGTACTGGCAGTCTCCTCTTCCTCCTTTCCTCTCTCCTGCTGAGGACTGCCCACCACGCAGGAGGCTGAGCCGCTGCTAGCTGCTAGGAAGGAAAGCTGGGCAAGACGATGCACGCTGGTCTCCTGCAGCCCCTCAGACGCTTGACAGCCTGGCGGTCAGCTGCACGCTTTCCTCTTTACACGTTGGAAGTTCCGTGCAGAGAGTCACACGCCTGACGGAGGAGCCCAGCCCGGCTACAGCGCTGCCACGCTGAGCCGGCTTATGTACCCAGGTTCTGGTGAGGCTTTGTTTGAAAGAAGTGTCAGAATGAAAATCACTGAACACTCTCAGAGCAGCAGAGCTCTGTCGGAGAAAGGCCAAGGGCAGGGCTCCGGCCACGTGGCCTGGCGCTGGCTGGAAGGTGGTCTATAGCCTCCTGCTTCCTTACCCCTCAGGCTGCTCAACGACTCCCCCACCCTCTCCAAGTAGTCGCGACACCCACACCGGAGCCTGCCTCTCTGTCTTGCCAGCAGCAACCACCTCTGTTCCTGCCCTTCCTCCACTTTTATATTTATATTTATGTGTTTATATTTTTCTGAAAAAACACACAAAAGATCTTTTTACAAAAAGAGGCCATACGTGGTTATAATTTATAATGAAAAAAAAAATTCAAGGGTAAATATTCTAAATACTGTCAACTTTTTCCCTAGTTCTCATTTCAATGAATTTAGAAATTGTCCACACTTTCCTCCTGCGCTCGCAGGGCAGTGCTGTGATCTGGCGGGAACACCAGGGCCCTGCGCGAGGCTGTCTGGATGCAACCCTGAACTCTTACCACATGCCAGACACATTCCACATGGCAGCACATGGCGAGCCTGGCTCCATCTGTAAATTAGGAACAGTAGTAGTGTCTGCCTTGGAGGTCTTTCCCCTCCACACTGGCTCGGTGCTTTATGTAAAATCCGTCGTCAAAGACGCAGGGCCTCCTCGACGTGGCTGAGAGCAGTTAGGATGAGGGCTGAATGCAGTCAAGTGCTCAGCACAGGGTCTGACACGTAGTAAGTACTTAATAGACGCTAGTCATCTTTATTAAAATAGATATATTAAAATTATTAGTCAAATCTGACACATAATTTTCTTCATAAGGACTTCTTTTTCAAATTAAAATGTTTCTAAAAAACTTATTAAAGATTTATAAAAGCACTGGTTGACAAGAAAATGTTTATTTGGCATTTCACGTGAATGATTTCTAAGGAGTTTCTGCACAGACATTACGGCTAGAAGGTTTATGAAATGTGCTTTGCAAGCGCAAATAGGATAAAGCAAAGGCTTACTTGAGAAAGAGGGTTGGGCCATGGCTGTGATCAAGTTTCAGTCACCAACTGCTCCCACTGCCAGGCCTCCGACAAGCCCGCCTTCACTCAGACCATCAGCGCCAGCAGGAGGCACTGGCTGCTTACCGCTCCGCTCACTTCCCCCCCCCCCCCCCCCACCCCGGCTCTAACATAACATACACACTAGCAAGTGTCTGGGCAGTGAGTTTCCAGGTAAAAGAAAAGCTGCTCACTAAGCACATGCAAGTTCCTTCACGGGGACCAGTGCTGCCCACAAGCAAGCCCACGTCCCCTGTGCGACCCGAGGCTGGTTATCTATTTACTGTTTTGGATCTTTAAGGCTGAGACTTTTAGGGAGAAAAGAGCCCAGGCTTAAAGTCTGGGGACAAGATGAGGTCACCTTCTCAAATTATCTCACGTTTGTGAGTCTTCATTTCCTCCTGTATGATAAAGGGAGATGAACACTTTGCTGGGTCATTGTAAAGGTTAAATGAGAATAAAATTGTTATTGTTATACAAATTTAATCTATGAAAGACTTGAAAACCAGATAAATCAGGGAGTAGCTATTTACTTACCAAAGAATTCATTACAAAATCGGACCAAATTTCTTTTCTTTTTTTAAAACACATTTTACGTGTAAGCCGCTCTTGGGAAGCATGGTTCCATACTCCGTGTTCACTAACCAAGGTCACGGCTGGCCCGTCCGTGGACTAGCCTGGCAGTTTTGCCTGGCCTTCCTGGACCACTGGACACCGAGGCTAAGGCCAGGGCAGCTCAGAAAGGAGAAGGGGAAGCTCAGCTAAGAATTCCAAAATTCAAACAACGAGTGGGCAGTGGGCGTGACATGCGCAGCTCTGGCTCTTTCCACCCCACACTGTAGACAGACTTCAACCCTCCGAATGGCTGTCTGTACCCTTCAGTAGAATTAATAAACCGCATAGTCCAAGACACAAAACTTCAAACAGAATCCTAGAAGCATGACTGGATTTGATTACTGTCAATTAATTGAAACAAATGCTAAAATTGGTAATAACCATTCTCTTTCCCAGTCAAAAGTCAGCAGGGAATCATGGGAAGGACATGGTACAGTGTAAAAGTGGGCTCTCGTTCTGACTCAATGTGTTCCTTCCAGAAGCCATCGACTCTGGTACGCCTAGGTCTTCACGGCTGTCCAATGAGGAAGAGAGGTGCCTGAGGGACCTTCTGATCTAACGCAGGGATCTCCCAATCATCTGCACGTCCACTTCTGGAAGCCTCCAGCCCCGACTTCGCAGCTGCCGCACTGCGTACACTCAGAGGGCAGAGCCTGCTTGCAAGACACATTGCCAGACGGAAGGTAACTTACCACCAGTGTGCTAGAAAAGAGCTGCAAGATGCCGTAGGAGGAGCCTGCAAAAACATCAACACCAAGAGCAAAATCAGCCAGACCCTCACAGAACTGGACAATGGGATAACGGCTGCACGGAAATTAACAGAAAAACATTAGGAAAAAAAAGATCATTTTAAAAAAAGAAATTACCCCACATTTTTTTTTTCAATTGGAAGAGTGTAAGTAATGTAATTATTAATAAAAGGTCTTCAAAATAAAATGAAAAGTAAGCAGAAGAGAGACTAAAGGCAAGTTCCCTTAGGACCTTGAGACAGTCCTTCCTCCGTGTGAGGTTCCCCGGAGACGATGCAGAGCCCAGGGGAGCAGAACCGAATCCTGGTAGTCTACCACGTCTTCAATGTTAACATCAGCACATGTACACACACTGTTTTCTCAGGATGCCTTCATTTTATGAAGAACTTACAAAGTTTATAGAGTGCTTTGACCTCCATTATATCACATAACATGTCTCGTAAATAAAACCCTTGTGTTTGCTCTTCATAAAACCCTTGTGCTGCCAGCTGGTCCAGTATAATTCCAGATACCCTTTCTGAGGGAAATACAATGCTGGCATGGGCCAGCGCTTACTGAATATTATGTTCAAAACTGCCCCCAAACACCTGCTTATTGAGCTTGTGAATGATCAAGGACTAGAAGTCTTAATTTTTCATTAGCACAGTCAGAAGCCCTGCTAGCTCCTGCCTCTCTGGAGCATCAGTGACTCCTGGCTGGAGACCGGCGCACAGGTGGCAATGCCTCGGACAAGATGAGTGAAACATCTGAAATTCACTTCATAGCATTTTCAATTTAATTCTGGGCAGCATTTAGCTATGAGACTGATCTGCTTTCAGGTGCTCAGTCCAGGGATGTAAAATGCTGCGCTCTGAAAATGTGCAGTACCTTCACTCACCTGCTATTCCAGCAACGGTGGGACTTGCTCCAAGAGACTTGACGTGAAGGCTCAATAAAGGCACTACCATGCTGACACCAAACAGATCCTGAACAACAAAGCACTGGTTAACTCTAATGAGAAACAGTCTAGGTGTGTTTAAAGTGGTGATCCTGACTACACACTGATTTTCCAAATAAAACGCCATCTAAAACTGAGCAAATAAGAAACAGTAAGTGCATCATATATGCTATCTCATCAGGCCAAGTATCAGGATCCGAATACGATATGCTGTAGCAGAGCTCCCGTAA